CCATAGAAGGAAAGGACTGGAGCAAAGGGAAGAGAGAGATGACAGTAAGTAGAGGCCAACACAGAGAGCATTTCAGGGAGTACAATTCAAGAGGGTCAGATGTTGCTGAGCTATCAGAAATGAAATCTGAGGAACCCACTGGATTTGTGATTGTATTTTATGATTATGCAATCAAGGGTGACTTTTAAGAATTCTGTTTAGTAGAGAACTGGGGGACAGGGTTGTCCTGGGAGGCAGACATATGGTATTCAGAGGGGAGGGACAGCGCTTAGAGAGCCCCAGGTAGGAAATGACAATGAAGGGACAGGGAGAGATGGTAGAATAATTCCAATCTTTTCTTTCAAGACTGCCTCAAAACAATGGAGTATTTTCTTAAGTTGAAGGATTACATTGTTTCATCCTGTTTTGTTTTGAAGGGAAAAATGAAAACTCTAGTAATCAGAGCTAAAGGAGAGTTAGCAAGTGTCAAACAAATGTTTTTAAAAACACTGCATCAAATTCAGGTAAAATACAAAGATTTTTATTTCAAGGTAAACTGTTAAGGGGCAAGGTTGCTTAACTTTATACAATGCATTAACTGGACATAATGGCAATTCCGCAACTAGGGTAGGAGACCCTGAGTAAATCATGAATGAAATAACTCACTTCAGACTTATTTTAAGCCAAATGGGAGCAGCTGAATGAATGTGTGTGTTGCAGCTTCAGAATGAAAAGTAGAAATGAGCTTCCTGAAGGCAGCCTATATTTCCCAAAACTTGGGTTGCAAATGAGCACCTGTGCTAGCCAGTCATGGTTCTATTACAAATCACAAGCAGTTTCGCCGGGTTGAGGGTGAGGGGTAGAGTGAGCCCCAGGTCTCAGCCACAGTAACACTGTAGTTTAGAATGTCATAGCTGCACCTTGCATCATGTAATTGGGGCTGTGCTGTCCTCAGCTATCAGCTGTTGACCACAAAGGGTTGCCATAAGGGTTAGAAAAGAGAGAATGTGAATAGAGAATTATCTCTTACAGGACACAGCTTATGCTAGTTCTCTACCCTGGCTACAGGGCTGCTCTCACCTAGTTCCAACTGTGGTCAAATAAAAGGTCTAGAAGTGCATCATCAAGGGCCCTCAAGAAGAACCAGGCATGTTAACAAGTGCAAGAAAAGAAGCTGCAAAACAGCACACACCTATGCATGGTATTACTGGAAAGTGATAGTGTTTTATTATCTACACTCAGAAATCCGGAAGAATTCACACCTAATGGTGCATTGCTACATTGCTGAGGGGTAAGATTACAGGAGATTATAACCACTGACTTATCTTCTATATGCTTGTGATAGCTGAACGTTTCACAAATACATATTGCAAAATAGAAATTACAACACAGGCAAGTGCTGATGCAAGAGAGGTGATTTCCTAGCCTCACATTTTAAAGATTATTCAATTAAGAAATACTACAGAAAAAGCACATTTCACAACTAACTAGCTTACAAGGTCAAGTCAAGGAAAGAGACATGCCATTTCCCAGTGTTTCACTCAACAATGCATTAATACATGCATTACAATCAGCCACCAAAATCCCTGCTTGCACTAGTTTGGGAACATTTGAGTGCCTCCCCCCTCCTCTAAAATGCCCAAACAAAAAAGATGCTTGGTGAGAGGAATAAAAGAATAATGCTTAAGGATCCCTCCCTGGTGGTGCAACCAGTTAGGGCACAGGACTACAAGTTAGCCACAGCTGCTTCAATGGGAGTTTGATCCCTGACCTTAGAGGTGACCCACATGGCACAGCAGACCTCTCCTGGTTCGCCCACTGCTCCCCTCAGTACTTCATGGATCTGCCTGTTCAGCTCCCCACTCTGTCTCTAGTTAATCTTCTCACTGCTGGCCGATACCCCAGCTCTGTATAAATAAATCTTTAAACAAATAAATAAATAAATACATCTTTAAGAAAATAATAATGCTTAAGTATATACAGTTGCCTCAGTGGCTTTTAAAATACTGGATATACTTCCAGAAAAAAATACATGTCGTCCAGGAACACTTTACATTCCTCGAAGTGACTATACACAAGGAAGGGTGCTGGGTTCTGCATTAAGTCAAATCCAGTGTGAAGGGAAGGGAATAGACTAGGCCACTTCCTGGATGCTTAAAAAAAAAAAAAAAGAGACTTATTTTATTTATTCATGCATACAGAACTGGGGTACAGGTTAGAGATATGGGGGTGAGTAGGTGAGAGGATTCACCAGAGACACAGTGAAGAGCAGAACAGGCAGATCCACTGAACAGTGCTGAGGGGAGCGTAGAGGGGAGCAGTAGGCTGGTCAGGAGAAGTCTGTTGTGCCATATGGGTCAGCTCCCTGGCCGGGACCGAACTCTGCTGCATTGGCTGTGAGAGCTTCATAGTGTTGTGCTTTAATCCGTTGAGCCACTAGGGCGATCCCTCTTTGATGCTTTTAACAGTGAGATTTTTGACTAACGCAGACAGTGATACTTCCCAGAGGAAAGCCCACTTTCTCCCCAGAAATCAAGCATCACCTCTCTCTGCTTTCGGCTGCCTCCCTTGGACTCAATTTGAGTTTATCTGATGACAGACTGGAAATTCCCAGGCTGAGAAACTCCAGCTCAGTATTTCCATAAGTACTGGAGAATGTGCTCTTCGGAAACACTTCTGAAAGTGTTTTCCATGAGGCAAGATGCTATACATACTGCTTTATGGACAGCAGGACATGGTAAAATGAAACAAGTACCATCACAGTGCTCTAAAGCCTGTCACATGCCTGAGGAAAAAAAGAAAGCTTACAAAATGTGCATTCATATTTTCTACCTAATATTATTAATCAGTTTCAAATTGAAAGCTGTGACTTCCAGAGGATGTCATTTTCAAATAATCCCTTATACTCACCTTTCTCACTACCATCTCAAATATGACCTGAGGCTAAATTTGGCTGAATTTTCCATTGATACAACTATGGCAATTTCTAACACTATGAAAGCTGCTCTAGGAATGTGTAGTAAAATCAATACCTGCGTTGTAATAATGCACTTGCAAAGCAAGATTAAATGTACATCTATAATTCAATGCACAAATTCCAAGAACTTAAATTGAATAATTGCTACAATTGTAGAGAGACTAGGTTATGATCCCCAGCTGGTATGGCTTGCCTGAATTAAGGCACCCACACATAACTGTGATAGACAATGTAGTTCTTTTGACTGACAGGGAGACCAGCAGAGAGCATGGAAGGCTGTGAAAAGATGGGAGTGGGGTATGATAATGAAAAACATGAGTGATTCATTCTACCTGATATGTAAATTTCATACACTTAAATATGAAAGACAGCAACTTTTTGAACTTAACTGCTTGTTTGGAGAGTTAATCAGAAGCATGTCTTGGACCTCATTCTTTTTATAGGCTCAGTGCCACCTCAAAAAATTCCATAGGGCCCCATTCTGAAATAAATTTCTCTCATCAGAAAGCGGCAAAGGTGGGTAGGGAATCTATGGAATGGGAAATCAGATGAAATCAGGCATAAAGTGATCTTAATGAACATGCACATGGGAATGGCAGCACCAGGGTTAAAGGCTACTCCAGGGGCTCCTCCAACCTCAGCAATCAGGAGCACTGGGTTTGCATTCTTACCATGTCCCTGACTGTGTGACCTTGGGCAGTTTAACAAATCTTTCTGAGTCTCAGCGTCTTCATCTTCAACCTGGAGGTAATACATAGCTGAGCCAAAAGCTATTCGTAACTGGCACATATGAGCATTTAAGAAAAGTGTCCTTATGATTCTGTGTAGTGACTACATCTTAGCATCACAGATCTGCTGCAATATCCTAACATCATGGGATAACCATTTTCATTCTGTTTCTACCTTTTACTATTCTTTTCACCACAGTATTTTTGTGGTAAAAAAGAAAGGCAACTGGTGACGTATATCCCATTTTCAGAATGTTGCTTGAGGCAAGGGAAAAGTGAGGAAAACTAGGTAACAACACACTGAAGTGAATTCAGTCTTCAGGTAAGTATATGCAACATAAACAAATAGTGTAAATTTTAATCTACATCAGATGGGACATCATATCCGAAGTGCTTCATTTGAAAAACAAAAAGCCAAGCAGAAATAAAAGAAGATATAAGGAACCAATCTATTGCTATCTCAGTATTAATGAAAATACGGATTGGTGGAATAGATTATGGGGAATTTAATAGGGTCTGACTTCCAACAGGTGGCAAGCTTTAGTCATCTTCAGATGCAAAACCTTAATGAGTTTGAGCATGCAAGTCTCAGGGATTCGGTTAAAGGCCTCCTCTTGGCAATCAGGGAAAACAATTTTCTGGATTGAAGGCTCCCTGCAAGTTAGCAACCAGGGAACTGTGTGCCTAAACTTGCACCTGTCCTTTGAACGGGATTCTGGCCTGTGGGTGGAAAACTCACCATCCTTTCTTGACCACCCATCCTGCTGCCACAGTATCTCCCGACAAATGGAGAAGCCCACTAGGAAGTGGTCATGGCCAACCAAGCCACAAATCCTAAGGGTGTGGGATTTCCATCTCAACACCACGTCTGGCAGCAGAAAATACCACGTCGCTTGCCATACTGCAATGGGATTCCCCCCACCCACCCCCCCTCGCAGCAACTCCCCCCTTCACCCCAGCTTGCATGTTTTATTAATAAATGCAAGATGGCACACAGAAGCAAAGAATGGGAGGGAAGACATCTGCAACTAGACCCCAACCAGGGCAGTTTGCAAAAATAAATAAGAAGCATGTGACAAGAAACAGCTCCCCCAGGTTGGAACTGAAGCCCTAGGCTGCCCCCAAGCACCCTCGCCAGCTCCCTGGGCCAGCCGGGATGAAGGTCAGCAGTCAGATCTCAGCCCTCCCGGACAAGCGCCCTGCAAGCCTGACCTATCCCCTTCTCACCCCCAATCCACGACCCCAGCCCAGGACGCGGGGGCAGCGAGGCATAGGAAGCCCCGGCCACAGCCGCAGCCAACAGCGAGGACACCTACCTGCAGCAGGGGTGGGCGATTCGCGGGACTCTGCAGCGACGCCGCAGCGGTTCGCGCTCCCGGGTCTCCCCACTCCGCCCCCCGCCTCCTCGCGCTCCCGCGGTCTCTCCGCCCCTCCGCTGCCGGAGCTCTGGGGCCTGCGCCTGCGCTCTCTCTGCTGCCCGCCTCGCTCGCGCCCCCAGGGCCTCGCGGCCTCGCGGCTGTCTAGGCAACGGCGGCCTGGGGGGCGGAGCTTGGCAGGGGGCGGGTCCGGGGGCGCGGACTGTGAGGCTCCGTCGCGGTCGAAGCCCTAGCGGAAAGCTCGGCTACGCCACTTGAGTGAGGGTCTCGGTGGTCCGGACCCGGGCTCTCTTGCGCGGCATTCAGAGAGGAGAGGGTGAGGCTGGGTCAGGCGGGCGGGTAGCAGTCGGCGCGGGGCTGCGGGGCCTCAGGGGGTTTGGGCCACCGGGAAGGGAAACCTCACCAGTTGCGCGGCTTCCAGCCTGTGGTGGGCTTCTTCCTCAAGAGGCATTGGAGGCCCCTGCGGGGAAGCTTTTCTTTCTGGCCGAGGGGGTCGCCAGTTTTCCGAGTGCTGACCAGGAGCAAGTGCCTGACAGGACCTTCATGGGAGTGTCCGCGCTGGACACCCCGGAGACAGCTCTTCTCAGCTGTCTTCCAGTGATCGCGCTCCGAAATCGACATTTTGTTCACAACCAGATTTCCCCACCCAGTGAAATGCTAATGCCATAGCTCTATTGCATCAGTACGGCCATCTGTGCTTTATTCAGAAAGAGTGGACTAGTTGGATCCTGGAGGGGAGATTGCTCGTTGCGGTACATGTTTCAGGATCGTGGTTCCTGGCTAGCGGATGTCGTGATGTGCGTGGATAAGGACTCAGGATGCACCTACAAATAACCCTCGTGGGTTAGGAGTCCTCAGTTACGTTTACAAATCTCTCTAATGTCTGCAGGTGCCGCTGTTAGCAATGGAATAATATTTAGGCAGCTTCTGGGTTCATAGAAGTGTTTGTCATTTGTAGCCTCCAGCAATTCATACTAAAAATCTAGCCTTTTTCCCAGTGGGTTCCTGACATTTTGTCAAAATTTTATCAACTTAGGGCACTAAGTTCCAGGGTGGCAGTTGGCTCTGCAGTCAGGCTTTATTTTCAATTCTTGTCCCGCTTCTTCTCTCCCCCTCCCCCCCGCCCCCCCAGGATGGTGTTGGTTTGAATTATATCCAGTTAGGTGTCAGGAATGTCTTGTCCTTCTTGCCTCCTACTACCTCTGAAATTGTGGAGTTGAAAGTCTTAAAAACCTAGGTCAGAGAATTGCCCTAGAGGCTTGGGTCATCATGCTTTACTATTTTGATAGGGGGCGAGTATCTAATTTTGGCAAGCTGAGAAATAAGTAATCTCTCTTCTTCAGGCCCTCCTTTGTCTTTTAGAGTTATTTACCCAACTCTAATGGTGGAATTTTAGAGGGAAAGAGCTAGGAGTTGATATTAGTAGAAACTACTTAAGCTGCTAGAGAATTTTGGTCCTATCTCAAAGGAAGAGTATGGACTGGAAGGGACAAAAGAGGTGGGGGAATCGATGAAGGCTACTTGGGGTAACAGATGATCACATGAGGCACTGTCTTTTAAAGGCCAGGACATTTCAACTGTACTCAAAGAAGTATAAAAACAGCCATGGTACAGCTTGCTGTGACTCCATTCCCCCTGCCCAGTTAGAATTCTAAAAGTTTGATTCAAACTATTGAAAAACATCTGGTTATGATGCTAATTAAAAGAGTAGGATTTGTATTTTGAAATTTGGAGACAGAAAAATTGGGCCACCACCTAAATTTACCTGGGGTCTTTGTAATGTAATACCATTTTTTGACTCAGGTTCAATGCTACTTCAAGGGAACTTCTTTTTACCATGGCTGTCTAAAAAGACCCTCTAGTGAGAGAAAACTGTAGCGATTACATGCCAACTTTTTTTACTTGTGTCTAATAAGCCTGCTGCCTCTGCGAGTGTGTGTAATCTGAGTTCACATAAATTGTGGGCGCAACCATTTATGTTGTAGCAACCATTTATGTTGTAGAGTTATGTCCGAAAAACCCCAAAGTTGTAAAATTTGTCAGCTCTATACTGCCTCCTGGTGGTGTCTTCCTTCACAACACATATCCAATCTGATAAATTCTTTGAGATATTGAAAATCTAAACCAGAGGTCTGCTTTCTCCCAACTGTTCTGCTTTTGTTTTCAAATAAAAGCTTAATGCCCATAGGAACATTAACCCTTAAGGCGGATGAATTTGGAGGAACCGTGAAAGATCCTGTCAAGACTCTAGTAATTTTTCTTAAACTTTTCTGGCCTGTTTTCCTTTTCTGGCCTGTTTAGAATCAGATTCCTGAGTCGTTTACCCAAACTCAATGCAGGCTGATCTTCAGGAGCTTAGCCTGTGATTTTTATTGTCAGCCTGGAATTTCTTATCAAGAGAAGTTTGTGCATACATACAATAAGTGAAAAGGGGGAGTTTTGTGGGTGAAGGACCACCATTGCCAGAAAAATGGAAGCAAAATAGCAGAAGTGGAAGACATTAGCTACGGTTTTAAACCCGTGTATCACTTTCTTGTCAGATATATCTGTTTATACTGTGGTTGTAACTGACATCTTGTCCCAACCAAAATGTCTTTTGAATTATGTCAGATTTTCTTTTTGTTAAAAAGATAGTAATTTCTAGGGTACCAGAATCACAGAATTAGAAAATATCTAAATCTTTTGTGTCTACAGATCTTAACAATTTCTGTAGTTACTGTTCTTAGTAATATATATGTAAGCTTCAAATCAGCATATTTAGTTGTTTATTTCCTAATAAATGTTACACTTATTAAAATGGAATTGAATTCAGAAAATTCCCAGTCACACATCAACTTTTAATAAACATGGAGTAAACTATAGTCAATTTGGTTTTTTTTCAAGTAAATTCATAAAAATTTCAGGGTGACCCAAGATTTGGGGTGTCATTCATGTCTACAACTCCTTTGGCCCATAACATTTTGTTTAAGTTATGCATCTTTATAAACAGTAATAGTACAGTGACCGTAAGGATGAAGAAAGAGAATGTGGTTATATCAAAGTGGTCATTCTATTGAACTACTTAGAATTTTTATTTGTGTATAAAATTTGAGTGAAACTAAAGACAGACTGAGTATAATATTTTTGGTTGGTAAGCACAAGTTGTAGTTTATATGTGAAATTACTCTTGAACAATTGAGCTCAAATAATTCGAACTCAAAGTGAGCTCAAACTGAGTTGAAATAACTGAATTCAAATTCAAATTGATATTTTTAATTGTTAATGTTTTCTTTAAAACTATAGAAATACCAGGGAGTAAGAGGCTTAATGTTATTTAGTACTTCAGGAGAACAATATTTAGTTCTATTACATTTTTCCTTTTTGTACTAATATACTAATAATACTTATTTTATATTGACATAAATGGAGGTGAATCAAAGAGAATTTTCACTGTTTTTTTCTGGGCTATTATTTGTTTCATTTCATGAACTTTACTGAGAATAATTTTGTTACAGAGGAGGAGACATTAAAAAATGATCCATCTGTTTTTTATATTCCTAGTAGACTGAGTTCAATGAATACCAAAGTCAATGGTATTCAAATTAATTGACCTTTATTATGGGTTTAATATTTGGAATTTTGTGTGTAATTCACTAAGAAATGATTCCTTTGGCTATATAATTCTCGTACCAAAATAGACTATCAAAGTGATTTATATGTGTATTTGAAAAGCAAAAGTCAAAAGTAATGCAATATTCCAGTTCCAGTATAATTAGGCTGTTTTAAAATGTAGCAAATAGATGTCTCTGTGTTTATTGATTGAATCTTAACAATAACTTATATTTATTAAACACAATGCATCAGACACCATTTGATGTGCATTATACCTATTAATTTTTCCATAACAATATTGTTGGGAAAGTATAGTTACCTCATTTTACAGTGAGAAAACCAAGGCACCAAACGATTAAGTAACTAGCTGAAGATCACACAGCTAGTGATGTGGACAGTCTGATTTAGAGACCTCAAATTTAGCTCTGGTATCTTACTGCCTCACATATATGCCTCATATATATATATATATATATATATATATATATATATATATATATATGTTGTCTCTCAATGGATTTGAGGAGTCATTATGTAGTAGGAAAAACATTTTTGATGCAAAATTATGCTGATAATTCAATCTGTAGTTTTGAGTAAGGTAGTTAAGTGGTTGTCTCTGAGTCAGAAAGGATTGAATTTATTCCATCTAAAAGTTAACTAGGGCTCTCCTTGGTGGCTCAGCAGGTTGGATTGCAGCACTACAAGATGGCTGCAGCCACTTCAGTGCAAGTTCAATCCAGGCCCTGAAGGTGACCCACATGGCACAGCAGACCTCTCCTGTCTCACCCACTGCTCCCCTCAGCAGTGTACTTTCATCAATCTGCCTGTTCTGCCCCCCACACTGTCTCTGGTGAATCCTCTTGCTGCCCTTGCATCTCTGGGTTGTACACCAGTTCTGTATGCATAAATAAATAATATCTTTAAAAAAATAAAAGTTAATTAAATTTCTTTCTAGTGTTAAATTTTAATGATTCTATAATTATTTTTGTGTAATGAACATTCAACTTTTCATTTATCTACTAGATTAAAAATAAGCCAGAAAAATAGCTGGCATGGTTTAATTTGGTAGTAGATAAAATTCGATGTTTTATAGTTGATGTTATATAGTTATACTATTAATAAACCTTTCATGTTTAGTAATTGTATGAATATAGAAAGATCATAAGCTTCTGGGGGAATGATTGTGCATTTCAATAATTGATTTGATATAAAAATGTTTATTACATACTTTTATATGAGTAAGGTGTCTGAGCCTTTACCTTGATCTTGTATGCACAGTAAAACTTTGAAAACATGAGCTTTTAGAGCGAAAAATAGTGTAGTCCCTGTAGTTCTCTCACCACCATAGCATTGGTGATCTGTCCCCACAGTCCCTTGTGCTCTTTGCTTCCCTTTTTTGACCTACTCCTCCCCCCCCATACCATATGCCTCAGATCTATGTTCAGTTTTATTTTTTTTCCTGATCCTTTGTTCAACTTCTTTGTAGTCTACATAAAAGTGAATCTATTCCACGTAAAAGTGAAACTGATTTTTTTCTTCTGGTTTATTAAACTGAGTATTATCCCATTCAAGTTGTTGCAAATGGCACGAGTGTATTTTTTTTGATTGCTGAATGTATTCCATTGTGTATATAAACTACATCTTCTTGATCCAGCCATCTGTTTTGAGGCATTTAAGTTGTTTCCATACCTTGGCTATAATAAGTAGTGCTGCAATTAATATAGG